AATAAACAGTTAAACCTTCATCACATTTGCACCAAACTTTGTCCCTTTGAAAGTTTTGAATAGTCTATTTGTAAAAGTCAAGGAAAGTCCATATTTGGATTCTTCGACTCCAGAATACAGGCTCGGATCTGTGATTATACTTACTTACTTAGGCCTGCCGTTCCATGAGGAACATAGGCGATCGACGACAGTCCTCCAAAGAAATCGATTCTGGGCTGCTTTCATTGCCTCCAGGTGTTTCTTGGACGTCCTTTTTCTTTTGCCCTGTGGGTTCCAAGTCAGGGCCTGACATGTGATGCTGGATGGTGGCTTCCTTAGCTTGTGTCCAATCCAGCCCCACTTCCTCTGTCTGATTTGTACGTCAATTGGTTCCTGTCCTGCTCTTTTCCATAGTTCTTCATTTGAGATCCTTTCAGGCCATCGGATGTTGAAGATGCGCCTGAAACAGGTGTTTTAGAATGTCTGGATCTTCTGCAGGGTTGCTTTGGTCAATCTCCATGTCTCTGCACCATACAATAGGACGGACTTTACATTAGAGTTGAGGATCCACAGTTTGGTGGTAATGCGGATGTTCTCTGAGGCCCAGATGTTCTTTAGCATGGTAAATGCAGTTCTTGCCTTGCCAGTTCTTGACTTGATGTCACTGTCTGTGCCACCCTGTCTGTCCACCACACTCCCCAGGTAGTTGAAGGACTCAACTTCTTTGATGGACTCACCACCAACTTTGACTGGTGTTTGGGCAGTGGTTTGGTGTTTATTTTCATCAATTCTGTTTTCTTCAAGTTGATTTTGAGTCCCGTTCCTGCTGATGTTGTTGCAAGGCGAGTTATTTTATCCTGCATCTGACTGTGGTTGTGCGAAAGGAGAGCCAGGTCATCGGCAAAGTCTAGATCGTCAAGTTGCGTCAGGAGTGTCCACTGTATACCATTGTTCCTACCTGATGTGTTAGTCCTCATGATCCAGTCAATGACCAAGAGAAAAAGAAATGGTGACAGCAAACATCCTTGTCGAACTCCTGCCTTGATCTCGAAACTCTCGGACATCTGGCCAGCATGGGCAACCCTGCATATCATGCCTTGGTAGGTATTTCGAATCAGGGAGACTAGCTTCTCTGGTACTCCATAGTGCCTCAGTATCTTGCACAATGTCTCTTGGTCCACGCTGTCGAATGTTTTCTCATAGTCGATGAAGTTGATATAGAGGGGGGACTTCCACTCGAGTGATTGTTCAATGATGATGCGCAAACTGGCTATCTGGTCAGCACATGATCTGTTGGCCCTAAAACCAGCCTGCTGGTCACGAAGCTTTCAGTCCCCTGCCTCTTTCATCCTCTCGAGAAGTATCCTGTTGAGGACCTTGCCAGGCACTGATAGGAGCATAATTCCCCTGTAATTACTGCAGTCCCTCAGATCGCCCTTCTTTGGCAGCTTAATAAGGATGCCTTCTTTCCATTCCTCCGGAATGTTCTTTTCCACCCAGATCTTCTTGAAGAGGTTGTATAGGATGTTAACGACTGCTTCTGTATCAGCTTTGATGGTTTCTGCTGGTATCTCATCAGGCCCTGCCGCTTTTCCATTCTTAAGTTTGTTAATTGCTCTCCTGATCTCTGTCTTTGTTGGCTTGTCGCAGTTGATCGGGAAGTCTGTTTCGGCTGGTTGTATGTCCGGAGGTGTTTCTGGTGTTGGTCTATTTAATAGCTCTTAAAGTGTTCTACCCACCTCTTCAATTGTTCTTCTGTTGTTGTGAGAGGTTTCCCGTTCTTGTCCTTCACTGGCGTTCCTTCGGATCTGTGATTATGGATATTGCAAATCATAGCTAGGCTCTTTAGACTGCCACGTTTCGTGGAAGAAAATACCAACTTAAACAACCCATTTGTTTCTTAAACTTCAATATACCAACAAAGGAATCGACGCAGTTAATATAATTAATATTCTTAGTCAAAAAAAGGTCCAGTCTTGTATTCCACCATATTTCAAGTTGAAGTCCACAACTTGTATATCTTACAAATATACATCGACAATTGCTTCCAAACTTTTTAATTATAATAAAAACTCTACAGTACCTAGATATCGAACATCTGAAACATAATGCTCCAACGTGTTCATGTTCTTCTTCACCCTACAACTATAGTCCTGCTGGACATGTCATTAACATACATACGGTTAATAATGAGGATCTTAAATCACTTATCTTAAGAACACCTATCTTTCAATTGGCGTCATAATTTCAAATCAATTTTAAATGTTATGAATTCTGTGGAATATTACGCCAGACGATGGGCCAAATATGAAAAAGAAGACCTTGACACTATGTCAGAATGATTAAAAGTATCGGATGGATGAAATCTCACATTAAGCGATTATGGGGCAATATGAAAACCATCTATCCTTCTGTCTTGCACATTACAGACGTTCGACACGATCAGTATGTACTGATTCCAGCTGACAAAGCAGATAACAACATTGTCTTTGTTTGCAAGGCTCATTATTTGAATTGTATTTTAGAGGAACTGGGATTTAATTATGCGAGTGATAATCCAATTTATACCCATAGCTCCTTTTCTAAGGAGGAAATTCTTAAAAACCATGTCAGTTTTAAATATTTTTAATATTCCCAACAATCATTTGAAATGAATTTAAATTAACATACGTATAATGGATTCCAAAACTCAATAAAATCCTTACAAATAAAGATTTCCATTAAATATTCTCCCAAGCCTCTTTCTTTACTCCTCAATAAAATATTTATAGCAGTGAAGGAGAAACTTCAGGAGTACTTAAAAATTCCAGGGAACAATGAGAAAATCTGAAATCACAAAATTTTACCAAAATCAAAACATCAAAACATACGACTTTTCAACACTTTATACAACCATTCCCCACGATTAATTAAAGTCCAGGCTTTTTGACATCATAGACAGCTTCTTTTTCAATAAAAAATGGAATTATTTTGTTAAAAACCATTCTGATTGTAGTCACAAGTACTTTAAAGTTAATACTAAAGAGATGCTTGGGTTTCTGATTGACAATATCTATGTAGTTTTCGGAGATATTTCTCCCAACTATCTGTTCGAATTCCCATGGATACCAATTGTGCCCCGTTATTAGCAGACCTATTTTTGTATTCATATGAAGCAGAATTTATTCAAAAACTTCTACATGAGAAGAAGAAAACACATGCTGTGCCCTTCACCTCGACATTTAGATATATCGACGACGTATGATCAATTAACAATAGTTACTTCCATTTATATGTTGACTCGATTTATCCCAGTGAGCTTGAAATAAAAGATACCACAGAGTCTGACACAGCTGTTTTATATTAGGATATTTAATTAGATAAAGACTAACAACAATGCTTTATGATAAACGTGATGACCTGAATTTTTCAATCGTCAACTTTCCTTACTTATGTAGCCATATACTCTTATCACCTAAATGTGGGGTTTTTGTCTCCCAGTTGATTCGATATGCAAGAGCATGCTCTACGTATGAACAATTTCCTAAACGAGGCAAGCTATTCACAAACAATTTGATAAAACAAGGATATCGACAGTCTCGTTTGAAGTTATCATTTGCAAGTTTTATGGTCGATGAAATATATGGAGATAACGAACAGTATTCAAGCTCAAACGTCCATTAAACAATACAAAATAGGAGCAGAGTAAACACGGACCTCCAAAACATCAGAGGTGGGATCAGGTGCCATGGAGGAGTTAGCATCCCCTGCCGACCGGTCACACCCGCCGTGTGCTCCTTGTCATGATCGGGAAATAAAGGAAAAATCCGTCGATACAATGACCTTGTCAGCAAATACAATCTATCATTAAGTCAAATGCTGACTGACGTTATTCATACTAATTGTAAGGCCATTAATTACACACTGAAATTTCTATGGATTTTTTCGTTTACCCGATCATGACAAGGAGCACACGTCAGGTGTGACCGGTCGGCAGAGGATGCTTACTCCTCCATGGCACCTGATTCCATCTCTGATGTTTTTGGAAGTCTGTGTTTGCTCTGCTCCCGATTTGTATTGTTTAAATTAACTTTAAGCTTGAATACTGTTCGTTATCTTCATATTTTATTCCAAAGCCTTTAACAATAACATCAACTTTTGATTTATTTCGAAAAGTTTCAAGTAAAACTTACATGTGTGGTCTCCCAATTCGATCAGTCGGACCATGAAATCTGTAGCAGGTTTCGGCTTAAACCACACCACCTTCCTCCATTCTCCGTACGATGTCAAAGATAAGTAAAACAGGGTTTTAAAGCATAATACTGTAAACGTATTTATTTTAGCGCCTTGTTCGTTATTTTATGTACATGCTAATATGTGGTTTAAACTTATACTTGTCATTTTCAAGACTCAAATGCGCTATTCCAAGATTTCTACTCTGAATTTTCTAGATTATAGTTTTAATATGTCATGATATTATATAAAATTTTAGAAAATATTAACTTCAAATCTGTGCCCAAGCCCCTTTAAAACATTTAATACATTATTCTCCTGCACGTGAAACATCCAGACAGCTAGTGTAACTTAAAGAAAGAATAAACATTGTCTTAAAATATAACTTTTGTCTAAAAACGTCAACTACACGTTCCGAGATATTTAAAATGGATACTGATCATTTTTTTTAAGTTACATCATTATTACCCTTTAATTACTACAATATTTAGAGTACATGACATGTACTCTAAATATTGTAGTAATTAAAGGGTAATAAGGGATTATAGCCAAGTTAAGAGGTTTGCTTCTCAAAATGATTTTGCAAATTACGTTAAACTATCATTTAGTTAGCGAAAAAAGATTGATATATATCTAAACCTTTTCTCTTAAATTCCCATAAAAAATTCATTACCTTACTCACATAGCATATTCGGAGTAGAAGATATACATGTATTTATCAGCTTAACATGTTACAAGAAAAAAAAATAATTTTTAGTGATTGATAAGTTGAATTAAGCCTTTCAATTGAAAGTTTAATTTTGTCGCTATCACATTAAAATTCTGAGAAGTTGGGCAATGTAAAATAATCCAGACGTTCTGGTTTGCCATTCAGGGCAGTTGGGAGAATTCCGCATCAATCTTCTCTTACTGTTATGGGCCAGACAGTAATATCGCAATGCTTCTTCGTAATTCCCTAGTTTCATTGCTGTCACAGCAAGCATAATGTACTTCAAGTAGACATTGTCTGTGTTGGTCTTTTGTAGACTTTCGTGGATCTCTTCAGGACAATCTTTCAATGATTGTGACAATTTCTGAACTTCATTCAAATTGCATAGATTTGAGTGACAAAGAATTTTCAGAAATACCGAGTACATTTTTGGTGGGATGACAAGACGTGATTCAGTGTTTTTCATTAGGAAAATTTCTAGAGCTATTTCAATAGGTACAAGCGGCATCATCCTGTAAACTTCAAAGTCATAGGAGACGGCCACTGATGCTTTTTCCAGTGAACTCATTTGTCGTCCACAGAAGTTTTCCTCATAGTCCCCAACAGCATAACAACCATGACGAACGCTTACACGTGTATAACCAAGACAATTTTCTAAAATTTCCTCGTATTGTTTAATATGATCCAGCGCTGTTGTAAATCTTCCAAGACAATAGTAAGCTGTAGCTAGAGTTAAGTTTCCTTTACTGATATCCGCAAAACGAGCATAGTTTAGGTATGAAAAGGCTTTCCTTATATATTTATAACAACTTCGACTTTTAGTTTCCGTCAAAGAGATGTTTAAGTAAAAAAGTGCAAGTTTACAAAAGGTTTGGTAGCGGCAAAGCTTCAGTATATCGATATCTAAAGTCTCAAAGTATTTTTCTTTTACCTCTAATGTAAGCGAATTTTTTAATTCTAATTCTAGTTGCTCTACAGATGGCAGTTTTGCTTGTCTTGCAAGAATTTCACTAAACAGTCCGCTATCGAGAATCATTTCTTTTCTAGTGTCGCTGATAGGGTTGTTGAAGGATGACCGAAGAATTCTGAAATCTTCCTCTGGATTTGAGATCGGAAATGAAAATGGTGTTATATCTCGTCTAGCATGTTCCAAAGCTGTTTTAAGATGAAATAAGGAATGACATCTAAGTAAACACCTCCAACCTTCTCTGTATATCTCTGAAACCTGAGTAGATATATACGCTAATTGCCATTCCTGTACTTTTCCTAAAAACATGTTATTTTCTCTCACAAAGTAATTTGGACAAAATCCATTTTCCATCCAAGCAATTAAACGTTGAAAGCAGAGACTAACACAAAAAACTAGCCGCTCTGGTTTCCAGTATTCTGATGGGGTTTGTTCAATTGTCCAAAATAATGCAGTTTTGAGGAAGTAAGAACATATACCTTTCATCACAATAGGATCCTTAGAAAACAGTTCTCGATTTAAAAGCTTAAAAATCCCGTATGTCAAAAATTGCGTATCGTTAAAGGCGTAAACCAGTTTCTTTTCTGCCACGGAAAAAGAAAGCCTCCACTGCAGTGGATCCTCTGTCCAGTGTAATTCATTTGATGTAGCTAGATCTTCCTTCTGTAAGTTTATCTTTTTCGATCCTACTGCCATCACGTGACATCCTGTGTTTTTTATTCTGCTGATGAGTTCTTTAGAGGGCCATCCATATTCTCGTTTGCGTCTGACCCATTCCTCTGCGCAGATTGGCCAACCCTTGTACTCCAAACAATAGGCTCTATCGTGATCTGTCCCGTACTCGTCTGTTTCCAAGACACAAGGGCCATGACGAACTTCTTCTTTCAAAGATATTTGAAATGTTCTTAAAAATGCTTCATTCATTAGATAATATTCCCCACCCACCTTTTTCATTGCATTTCTTATGTGTCCTAAAGGCGTAAAAGGTGTCAAAATAATAAGTTTGACATAGCCTGGAGGATCATCAGCAGATTTTATCATTCTTACAACCGCTCTATACTTTCCGCAATCTTTTGGAATATTTGTTACAACTTTTATTTTTTTAATGACATGCATCTGGTCAACATCTGTTCCTTGCATACGAAAACCTTCTGCACAGCCTCCCGATCTTATGATTTCTACTTCATTGTTGGAAGACATTAATCGATCCATAACATCCATGATGTGTCTTTTCAGTCGCTGATTCCTTGGATCTCCAACAGCATTTAAAAGATTGTCAGCAATGAGAAAAGAAAGATGCGGATCGTCTAACCACGCACCTACATGTTAACAAAAATGTGTATGACAGATGTGAAGCAGTTTTTCTTAATGATTAAAGAGTATTTATAAAACAGCATCTGGAATATACATTAATATTCAATTTGATCATAAATTCTACATATTATAGTGTTTCAAATATATATGGAGAAAAAGAATCCAGAAAATGAACATTTTACATACCCGCCATTAAAAACCGTTACCGTTGACTGTGCATGCACTAAAAATATTTTATGCATGTTATTCTAAATTATAAACCAGATATTTGAACATCCTTCCTGATTTCAATTGAGTCGCCATTTTCATTTGTTTGAAAGGAGTATGCTATCAAGTGGTAATTTTTTTTCTACTGGGCAAAATCTGTTATTCGCCGATTATCTGTTAAATTTAACAGTGAAGTTTAGGATTTTTATTACATTTTAAACAGTGAAATACTGTGATTTATTTATTGATTAAAAGTGATATTCTGTCACAGTGTGAAAGGATACCAAAGTGATATTCTGTCACAGTGTGAAAGGATATCAAAGCAAGTAAAAAAAAATTCTGGCAGTAATAAGATAGAGATACATGTAGTATCTAAACCACCTTGATAGAGAGCAAAACTGTCAATTTCTTCCCCAAAAAATTAATGCTACAATGTTTTCAATCTCACGACTGCTAAGCTGCTCAACTATGACGTCACAGCCTAGAACAATATATGTTATGAAAAGACAGAGGCAAAGGGAAAATCAAAGAAAATGTAATAAACAGAAAATTAAAACTTCTGATCTTCTTAAAATTTTAGGGTAAGCTATCTGATCCTCACATTCATACAAGATAGGAAAAATTAGAAGGGATTCTAACTTCGTTTAACAACGAACATTTTGGGAGAGGAGGTGGCTATATCATGTTGTAAATTTTGAATTTGTAAGTTAATTTTAAGTGGTCGCCAATTTGGCGACTTCTAGAAAAAAAATTTACGCGCCAATCATAATTTTTAGGTGCCATAGCGACTAAATTAGTCGCCAATAAGAGCCCTGAATTGGGGGGGGGGGGGGTAAATGCAAAAAGTTATCATTGTAAATTTTGCATTTACCTCCGCCTAGTAAATTCAAAATTTACAACATGAGACCGAAGTCGTTCATTTATGCTGTACGTTATGGGGGAAAAGGTTTGGGACTGAGCCCCCCCCCCCCTCGCGCACACACCTGACTCCCATGAACTATTTCACGTTTACAAATAACTCCAATTAATGAAAATTACATTTTTCTTTCAAATAGTTACCACTGGTCGTATTTTTTAAAAATTTTTATTATTTTTATTTTTTTTTAATTTTAGTAACCAATGGTTGTAATAATTGCAGTTGACTATTCATTTCTGTAATTAAGCTACATTTTATGCAAAACAGACAGTTCTAATACAAATTTGGTTACTATGTGTGAGCAGTAAAAAGTGATGTACGCAAGCAAATCTTATTAGGGTCGATACACACGGTAAGGCTTGCAAGTCTAAAACCTTACGTTTTTACAGGCCGCACGGCTATCATGTCCACGCGCTAAAGCAAGACCTACAAGATTATAAACAACATTTCTATAAATTCTACGTGTTTTAAAGCCTTTATACAGTGCATTCATTCATTAAAATAGAAGATACTAGATGATATCCCGCGCAAGCGCGGGAAAATGAATTTATACCACTACCGACAGAAAAATTCCAATACCATATATTGTAGTTTCTACTGACAGCCTACAGGATTATAGCAGGTGGAAATACTTTGTTCAAAATCCCGAACGAAGTAGATGTACGTCTCCAACCCCCACCCCTTTTGTAAAAAACTTGGAAAAATAACAATTTCATTGACGTTTATTATGAACATCTTATACTATGTTATGGACATTGTACTTCAGGAGCAGCGAACATGCACATTTTACTGATAAATTGATTTTTTTGTTTGGGAAGGGGGGGGGGGTAAAAATTAGCTCTTAACGCCGAATATTTGATACAAAAGACTGTATTCTAGAAAAAAAACTGAAATGTATTGATTAAAGCACAAAATTTTAAGCTTTAATTGTATTTGAACAATACTTTATTCATTAATTTTCTCTTCTCATGTAAGCAAGTTTATTACGAAGTACAAATTGTACTTCGGGTTCGTTGCCACGATGCTCTCAGTAAGGAATATACAAATTTATTAGGAGAACCTTCTAATAGTCTTTCGATATATAAATATATTCATAACTTATAGTGTTATCAATGATTTACCATTATTTCAATGACCATTCACATAATTTAAGTTTTTTTTAATTTATGTTCCTGCAGCTCGCCTCGTTTTTCTTAAGCTTTTTTTAAAACATCGGACTCGATGCTGTATGATGTTCTAGAAACTTTTGTCAATATAAAGATCGGTGAATGACGAAAATAATTCGCACATTTCCCTTTTTACTCGGTTACCACAACTTATTTCTTTTATATCATTTAAATCAAGTTTTTATTGAATCATTCAGTGATGACGTTTTAAGAAATAAATAAACGATTGCTTGTTGTCAGTTTCATTAAAAAAAATCTGCCAACCGGAACCGCCACCGTACTCACGTTTTTGCTATTTCATGGCTGTTTATAGAAAATGAAAGAATGTACGACTGGAATCTAATTATAGTTTACGGACATCATCTTGTATATGGTGTATTCTTAGAGGAGTAAGTAAGAACTCTGGTGCATCCGTTTCGGAGTTTATTTGCAAAATTTATTAATTTATGAGTATAGATTACTAGGGTGCTGTAATAATTTTACCGACCAATGCATTGACACTTTTTCAAAAGAGGAAGAAGTTGAACAGAAGCATTTGTGGGTACATTCATTAACTTCTTTGAAAGTATTTTTGTGTTCACTTCAATCTATACCCACGTTACTGGGTTGACATTTTGGCGAATGGTTTCCATTGGCTAAATAGAAAAAGTCAAGTAAGTTTTGTATTAAGAAATAAAGCAGTGGTCTATATTTGAAGAGAACCTGGAATAGTGTTTTGAACACGGTTCAAATGAATAAGCGATGTCAATACTGGACATTACCAATTGTTGGTCCTATTGGTCATTGACAAGCATCAAACTTTTCGCCCAGAAGAAAAAAATTTACCACCTGTTTGAAATAGATTGTAACTCACTTTCCATACAAATACAAAGACAGAGAACTAACATCATTTCATTAAAAACACAACAAAAATTCAAAGTAGAAATTCTCTCAGACCATCTCTACAAAAAACTTTAAAGAGGGAATGTCTACTGTTCACAGATTATAAAGATAATAAATCATCTTATTAGTAATACCTATAGTCCTAATATTTCATTGGAGGGCAAATAGTTTCAGAAAATAATTATATAACAAGGATTGTACCTGGGCAACTTGCCAAGACGCCACAAAACTATGGTTGTTTATTTAAGAAATAAACAACGTTTTTCAGTGAACATGGCTTTATGCATAGCAATTGCTCTGCTGGCATATACCATGATGTGCGCTATTCTTGAAATAAATACACTAGAACAGATATTTCGCCCTTTCTGAACGTAGAATACCTAGCGTGAAGAGTTATCGTTCTTTGTACTATATGCGTAAAAATGAAGAAATAATTTAAAGCTAGAGAGCTCTGTTTAATTTGTAGAAAGTTTTATTATACAATTAAATACGTTGACTAAAATTATTATTTTTAAAAAATTACATACACCTTAATCAGCAATTTTAATTATTTTGAATTTCTTTTTTCCCGGAAAATTGCATTAAAAACTAAAATTTATTCCTTTTGTACAACATTTCATATAGTGCTATATGAGGAGGTATAATATGTATGCTGTTTTGGATCTCGTAACCAGCCTCTATAACCAGGCAGAGCGCATGCGTGAAATAAATTTCCATCGAGATCGGAAAACAGCAGAGAGGAAATTCGGAATATATAATGGAAACTAGTAATGTGGAATGATACTATAGTCAGATGCAGAAATTTTTGCATAATTCGATCAACTTTTATTTAAAAAAGCAGAAGAATAAATGAATCAACTTTACAGTTAGTTTTTATTTATTTATTTATTTAATTATTAATTAATTTATTTATTTATTTAATTTATTTATTTATCATTCTTACAATTAATTAACTAAGTAACTCATTAATTTATTAAAAAATATATATTTGTATTTTTTTTAAATTCATTTATAACATTCTTTCCTTCATTTATTAATTATTCCATCCATTAATTAATTAACTATTAATTAACTCATTGATTTATTAATTTGTATGCATGTTTGTTTATTTATTTATTTATTTATTATTCTAATAATTAAGTAATTGATTAATTCATTAAGAAGTTCATTTATTTGTTTGTTTATTTATTTATCATATTCATTCCTTCATTTATTTCGTATTCTATTAATTAATTAATTTATTTATTTATTTATTTATTATTCTAATAATTAAGTAATTGATTAATTCATGAAGAAGTTCATTTATTTGTTTATTTATTTATTATATTCATTCCTTCATTTATTTCGTATTCTATTAATTAATTAATTTATTTATTTATTTATTTATTTATTATTTATCTATTTATTTATGCATTCATTTATTCGTATTTTTATTAATTTCTTGATTTTTTATTTCTTTATTGATTGATTGATTTATTTTTTCATTTATTTATTGATTTATTTATGCATTTATCATATATTTCTTTTATAAATTAATTATTTTACAAGGTTTGTATACTTATTACCAAGGTCTGTTTATGTATTGCCATAGTTTGTATACCATCACCAGGGTCTATATACCTATCACCAGGGTCTGTATACCTATCACCAGGGTCTGTATACCCATCACCAGGGTCTGTATACTTATCACCAGGGTCTATGTACCTATCATCAGGGTCTATATACCCATCACCAGGGTCTATATACCTATCACAAGGGTCTGTATACCTATCACCAGGGTCTGTATACCTATCACCAGGGTCTGTATACTTATCACCAGGGTCTATGTACCTATCACCAGGGTCTATATACCCATCACCAGGGTCTGTATACCCATCACCAGGGTTTGTATACCTATCACCAGGGTCTGTATACCTATCACCAGGGTCTGTATACTTATCACAGGGTCTATAAACCTATCACCAGGGTCTATATACCCATCACCAGGGTCTGTATACCTATCACCGGGGTCTGTATTATCTA